CACCCCTCCCCAGGTGGTTTTATTACCATCCACGTCTTGAATCACCCCTCCCCAGGTGGTTTTATTACCATCCACGTCTTGAATCAGCCCTCCCCGTGCGGCCCACTGTGGTGGGACTCCGTCATCGTCCCTGTTGTGAGCCACGGATCTCTAAGCCCCGCCCCTCACCAGGTCTTACCCCTCAAAGCAGTGTGCGACCGTCAGCGCCCACCGCCGGCCGATGAGGACGCAGCCGCAGACGTGTCCGCTCTGACCGCTCTGCAGCGAGCACTGCCATGGCCACGCCCCCCGCCGTGACACCCGGCCTCCCAGAATCCTTTTCTTCCTGTGAGGGTGGACGCCCACCGCCGGGCGCTGACCACACTCTGTTGGCGACATGGACAGTCGGTAAATCACCACCACGACATCCTTTATCATGGGGTTTTCAGCTTTACGCCGAGCTGTGTCCAGAAAGTTAACAAACTTTAAACATAAAGCTGGTGAACTATCTTTCTGGACTGAGTGTGCTGAGTCTGTATAGATGGACATAGATAAACATCTGCAGTCTGTGGAGACACAGTGACCACAACACAACATGAAACTACAGAACTGAGACAAAATGACAAAAACTACACAAGACAACAACAAGAGACAACATGACAGAAGAGAGACAAGAAAGTGGAAACACAAAATGACACACAAAGAGGTACGAAACCACAGAAAACGAGATATAAAATAAAACAGATGAAACACAAAACAAGCGAGACCAGACAAAAATGACAAAGACGAGACAAATCAAGCACAAAACAACAAAATGGCGACAAAACTGTCTGACGGCGTTTGTAGAGGCTGTTTAAATGCACATGGCTCCATCTCTACACTATGTGTGCAGCGTTGGAACCACGTTGGACAAGTCTGTGTCCTGTGAGACAAACAGGGACTCCTTTTAGACAAGGTTTACATTTTAAACCAGACTTTGATGAAACAGGACTGTCGTAGGGTGAGCTTTGGTTGATTTTAACAACAGGGCTGCACATCAAAGATAGTTAGTTCATGGACCATCAGAGAAATCTACAGACTGTGTGTTTTAGTTTCTGGCTGATAAACTGTCATTTTAGGGATGTTTTTACAGGTATCATGCAGGTGCTGATGAAGTGGATGTGAGGTGTGGCTCCAGCCAGCAGGGGGCAGCGCTGTTTAACTCATTACATCTTTGGACTTTGTCTCCACCTGCTGGTAGCATCTAGAACGACACTGTGGTGGTCCGACACCCGCTGAGACGCACCGACAGGCATCTTTCTACAAAACTCAGATTTCACTCAAAGACAGCGAAGAAGAAGAAGAAGAAGAAGAAGAAGAAGAGTTTTACCTTCTCTGGTGCAAAGGACTGAAACTCTCCTCCTGGAATGACAGGCGTGACTGCAGGACAGACAGACGGTGTTTTAACAATCTGCTGCTGTTTGGCAGATTTGACCTGTTTTGTTAAATTCTGGTAAAAAAAATAATTTACATGTTAACTGTAAAAACAAAACAGGCCAAAACCAACGAGGCAGAGGAACGCTGTAACTTAAAAAAATGTAGAAATGATGAAAATAACAGCAAAAAACTGTAAAATCCATCCATCCATCCATCCATCCATCCATCCATCCATCCATCCATCCATCTATCTATCTATCTATC